CAGTACCCCCCTGAGCGTGTGGTGACTGATAACACCAGTTCTGTTTTAGTTTACTATTCTTCTTTGGCTACCTGTATAGTGTTCATGTTTGGCGACGTCTCTTTTAACCCAGAGTTCTTGTAGTATTCTGAATGTTGCCGATTCAACGTCGTCTCCTGAATCATCTTCTCGTCCTGCCTCCTGGAGGACATTGAGAATTTCAGCACGTTCCATTAACTTGACTTTCTACCCCACCAGGACATCACACAAGCAATAAACACCCGATGACACAAAGTGCCACCATGCGGATGAGGATCACCGTGGAGAGGTCCCAGAAACCGCGTTCAGACAATTGGCCATATTGATGGCCTGCCTATATTGCGGCCCCTGGCAAAAGCCAGAGTGGGGCTTCAAATAACAAAAAATTACGTCCTAAAAAGGACGTAACTAAGTTAACTTCTATGACGTTCCATTGCGTTTCTTGCACCTTAATGGCCCTGCCAGCCAGCCAATCGGCTCGTTCATTCCCTCTTACCCCAAAGTGTCCTGGCACAAAAATGAAACTAATTTCTTTCCTGACAAGCACTGTCTTGAATGAGGTGAGAGCAGACACAAATGGCTTCTTTGTCAGAAGCACACATTTTAGTTTTGGAGGACGTGTTCAGCCCTTTTCAGCAAAGATCAGGAGACACATGTCAGCCGCCAACATCCAGTATACTGCAGACAGCAATGAGGTATGGACGAAGTGAAAACTTGTCAGCCGACCAAAAAAATGATGGACGGATGGAATTCAGATACCTTTATACAAAGTACACCACAAATGGAAACTCATTTTGAAGTTTCATGCAGAAACGGAATGATGCTGCGTAATGACTGGAGCCTGAAAAACCAGGCACATTGTTGCCCCCGCCCCTCCAACCATTTGAAGGGGGCAGGGGAGGTCGAGGGACGCCCAATAATTAGAGAACAGAGGCTCCTGCCTACCATTAATAGACACCTTCTTTTTAAGCCTTTGTTCACACATTTCATCTTATTTCAAATATGCCTGTTTGCCACTCGGCAGATATGAATAATTACTGTGCACTTTAAAAGGCCTAAGCCTCTTTCCATAGAAAATAATAATAAGGGGAAGCCCTTTTTAATGGAAAGCTAGACAATAATAAGGGTTTTAGTCCCCCTACGCCTTACCGTTATTTTCTTAGTGGCGGAACGTCTGTGTACAAGAAAACATATTAGATGAGAATATATATATATATATATATATATAATCCTGAATGGCTTGATCCCATTTTATAAACGTATCAAGAAAAGATATTAAATCGAACGGAAAGTATATTAGCAAGCTTCACAGTATAACGAATACAAACAAAACGTGAACGTTGTGGCTTTGTAGCATTCATCATCACATACAAATCAAACAATACTACACAAATACACAAAAATCGCTTAGCTGGTGAAGCAGCCGGGTCGATGGTTTCTCAGTAAACGGAGGTTTTGATTTTACTGACTCCTATCTTCACATAGAAGACGACATAGACACATCAGTAAAATTTGAGTAGGTGCTTCTCCAAACTAACTTCCACGTCACGTAATAGTGTTAGTGTCAGAGAGTCTGTCAATGTCATAGCTAGGCGCCCGTTTATCCCCCAGTTTCCCCAACCAGTGTTTCGGTACGTTCCGTGACTTACACCAGACCGCCGGGCAAGGATTCTGGGACTGATGTTGATTGGTTCAACGAATGGCAAGATGGCGGAAATCCAGAGGCTGGCTACAATAGATCCCCCAACTACATGTCTGCAGGCCACTGCCGCCGATTGCTGTCGGAAATGTTTCAATTATATGGCTGTCAGCTTGATATAATCGTCCGCTGCAACTTTGTGGAGCCTTGTAAATGTATTTAATATTAATAATATTGCGGTGTTGGTCTCGCAGCAGGGAGGAAATTTCCTACCTGTCATTGATTTATTTCAACAAAGTACTCTATAATAAGTAGTTTGTAATGGAGGGGTCTCGGCTGTCGTCGTCTCTGACTGAGTGACTCTTTATGCTTGCGGTAATTTTAAAGAGCCTCGAGGAGAAGGAACTGACAAACTGCTTGTATGCTTATTTACACGGTTGTGAGAAATTGAGAGTTACATATTTGTAACTGCAATATTGTGCTGACACTATATTTATTGGTAAAACACTGGTTTTGTTATTGTTTTGGTTGGAGTCATTTAGGCATTACCATTAAACATTTCATTGGTGATTGGGCTTTCAGTTCATGATCACTGTACTCTGTGTGCAGATTTACTCTAGATTTCAACAAATAACTGTCACATCCAACAGTTTAGAATGCCACCAATGAAGAATAGATTGATAAAATGATAAAAACATTTTAACCCTTTGGAGACATAGCTTTTTTGTAGTTTCAGTGCCATTAAGATGAAGGCTTGAGGGAAGAATCCTCTTAGTTTACACACACAAAATTATAAAAAATAAATCGCCTTATTAATGTATACAAAACTATATATATTTGGGTAAGAAAAACGAATGAACTAACAGAACATGTATGAAATCTCAACATTTATTCAAATTAACTATTCTGATGTGCATAATTTACGCATATTTTTAAAACTTGGGAACAAACATGACTAACCTGAACAATTTAGGTGAATTTTTTGATTGATGAAGCCTGATCAGTCCTACGGCTTGTGTTTTTGGGTAATAAGGCCCATTGAGGCCATTCAGACACTTCTGACACATGGTTCTACTTATTTTCATGCCTTCCACTATGTTTCGGTTGCTAAGTCACAACAGGCCTTTTTGCTATTTGGCATAGATAGACCCACACACACAAAAATCTCTGTAAATTTACAGAACACATCAAACTTTCTCAAAAGCCATCATTAGCAATCCATATATGCAAGAAACAATCTGATTGGCAGGTACAAAAACCTGCCAGCCAATCTCTAGGCTTGTATTACACAGGGCTGACCGATCCGCTGGGTCATTCTTTTGGCTACTTTGCGTTGGGCTGATATTTTGGCTGCATCGTCTCCAGAGGGTTAAATATAAAAGAAAGTAGTAATGATTGTAATAATATGCATATTATTAAGAAAAATTACTAATGCAGTGCTTAAGCAGATAACTGAACAAATACCTTGAAATTAAGATATATCAAGATAGACGCTAGCGAGTTTTTTGTGAAAATCTGATTACATAATAAGAATATCTTTTCTCTGAAACCCACAGACCAGAAAAATAGAAAAGGGGAAGACAAACAGAAGGAGATACTGGAAACATAAAGAGAGGAGAAGATGAATAAATCAATATTTGGGAAGATCATGTAGTGAACAGTACAAGAGTGGGGTGGCTTGACATAATTTATTTGATGTTTTGAGCTGAGATCAGAATTAAAGGGCAGAAAAGAGAATAAACAAACGAACGAACAAACTTTTTTTTCAAAGGGTCACAAATTAAGCATGCAGGCCTGTCTTACATTCGGTCCTTCGTCTTACATTAGGCTCTTCCAAACTCTTATCTTTCACACAAGAGTTTTATTTTATCAATAAAGCATGTTATGTTCATGTAATAATATGCATATTATGAATATCAAGTCAAAAACAAAAGCATGGGTGGTAAAATATGTGCCCACACTCGCGCATGAACACACACGAGAGAGAGGGAGAGACACGAATGAATGCAGCCATTGTTTTATCTTCCCTCTGTATTCTACTGGAGAGACATTACTCTAAATTGTGTATTTGCATGGTGGCCGCTGGGTGTATCAGTCAGATATGATGACTTGATCAGTCACTCTCATGGATCAGTCCGCTGGGTGTATCAGTCAAATATGATGACATGATCAGTCACTCTCATGGATCAGTCCGCTTGGTGTATCAGTCAAATATGATGACATAATCAGTCACTCTCATGGATCAGTCCGCTGGGTGTATCAGTCAAATATGATGACATGATCAGTCAGTCACTCTCATGGATCAGTCCGCTTGGTGTATCAGTCAAATATGATGACATAATCAGTCACTCTCATGGATCAGTCCGCTTGGTGTATCAGTCAAATATGATGACATGATCAGTCACTCTCATGGATCAGTCCGCTGGGTGTATCAGTCAGATATGCTGACATGATCAGTCACTCTCATGGATCAGTCCGCTTGGTGTATCAGTCAAATATGATGACATAATCAGTCACTCTCATGGATCAGTCCGCTTGGTGTATCAGTCAAATATGATGACATAATCAGTCACTCTCATGGATCAGTCCGCTTGGTGTATCAGTCAGATATGATGACATAATCAGTCACTCTCATGGATCAGTCCGCTTGGTGTATCAGTCAAATATGATGACATAATCAGTCACTCTCATGGATCAGTCCGCTGGGTGTATCAGTCAAATATGATGACATAATCAGTCACTCTCATGGATCAGTCCACTGCTATATCCCACTGGTGGCCACCATGTTGTCTCTGCCCTAAAGGGTGCCCACATTCAGGGGGAAACAAGAATAGACCCAACAAGCATGTCCTAAGAGTTGATTAATTTGGGGTTTCCTTCAAAATCACAGTGCATCTGCCTGAGAGCCAATGAACCAACAGTCTGCATAAGCATGATCTGTAAAATAGATATGCACGCAACACTCAGGTCCTGGAACAAGACTCAAGTCCTGAGGTGGATGAACAACTAGAACTTCCTGCCTGAGTTTACTGCCGGTGAACAGGAAGAAGAAAACTGCTGTTATCTATTTCAAGATGTTGTTTTCCCTTATATAACTGTCAGCCTCCTATCTGCCAGCTTCAGCTTCTCCAGACCAGCATGCTATGACTCAGTGTAGCCAAAATATGTAACTAGTCTTTTTTTTTCTGATTTTGACAGAAGTTGTCTCATCAAGTGCATGAACATTCAGTTCTCACCACTAATAATGTTTTCGTTAATTTATTTTCAGATTCACTGACAATTCTGAAGTGACTCTTATTTTTCTCCCTCCTGACGGCAATGTAGATTAAATAATACATGAACAATGCCAAGCAGAATTGTATGTTTTGTATGTGGGAGTTTAGGAGGGGAATATCAGCTACGCAGTCGGCCGTACGAAGGATGTGCCTTTTTCCCCTTCCTGGAGCATCATGAGCCACCCAAAGGGAGTCGTCTTCCTGGTGCAGATGGCACTGTTGACAGCTGCAGAGTCTGTTATGCCTTCCTCACTCAACAGTGGGAAACTTACGAGCACGCTAATACTCCGGCAATTAAACGTTTGTACTGGTTGAAACGACTGGATGATGGTCAGTTTACTGGAGCAGAGATGAAACTCCAAGGAGAGTATATGGCTCAAGTGATGGGCCTGCAGTATCAGCCTTCATGTGGGGACAGCTGTGCCCCCGGCTCTCCAGATTCTAGAGATGGGAGTGGAACCGGCGCCGAACCTGATGTGCGCCTGGATAGAAAGTCCCAGACTCTCGATGATGGGGACCATGTGTTAGATTTGTCTGTACCTCTCAAGTCTGACCTGGCACAGATTTCAAACAGATCTACCCCAGCAGCAGATAAGTCTCCCCGGGAAGCTACAAGGATGCGACCACAGCTGGATGACTTCTCTTTCCTCTGCTATATTTGTGGGGATGAAAATGAAGGCGTTGCTGCCAAGTGTATATCCAGCATTGCTCACGGTGTCAACAAACCATTTTTTCCATTTCTCAACAAACTGACGCCCCATAAAGGAGCAGCCCAGTTGAATGGACAGGGAATCTGCCAGGTGTGTGATAGGTGTTTCTCTTCCTTGTGCCACCAGTGGCTGACGTATGAACACCACGGAACACCAAACAGTGCCAGGATTTACAAGGTGAACGCACAGTTTTTCAGCAATGATTCCAGCATAGCTCTAGGACTGGCACCTGATGCCCTGAGTGCTTCTGGGGAAGTGTGCTACTTGTGCAGCAGGTCCTGGGCCTCCTCGAAAGTATGTTCCCTGTTTACAGCACCGGCCAGCACCAGTACAGATCATATGTATTTCCCTTTCATCAGAGAGTTGCGGAGGCCACATGGAGCTCGGCCACTGAACCCAGATGGCTCTGTCTTAGTTTGTGTTAGCTGCTATAGTAACTTACAGGATCAGTGGCAGCGTTACGAGGCAGAGAAGGTTCCATTCCTGCAGCGTAGGTACTCATTATTACCTTCTTCATCATCAGCATCAAGTGTCACATCACAGAGTTTAAAATCTTTCGCTGATCCAGATATTAAATGTGATCCAGGAGTGTTGAAAGTTGAAGTGGTTACGAAGTCTCTCACTCAGCCTCTAGCCATTGAAATCAGCAAGAGTGCAACTTGTGCTAAGACCCAAGCTCCAAGCTTGCCTTCAGGGGCCACAAGTTATTCATCTGCTGTTGTTGGAGCTTCAGGCAGCAATCAGGCCACAGCGCCAGAGTCCAGCAAACATCACGGCACAGAAAGTAAATCACATTCATCATCGACAATTCTCAGCATTCCTCACCCCCTGCAGCAAGCTGGAGAGAGACCTAAGAAAGTTTGCTTTTTGTGTGGGCAGAAATGTCTGCTCAGCAAAGCTCAGATACTCTACTCCTACCCAGTCCGGCATGAAACCAAGAGTGCCGGAGGACAGTGTCAGACCATTCCTTTCTTTCCATTCTTAGCCAGCCAGCCACCAGCTCCTGGTTCTGAACCGATGGCAGAAGAAGGCACGGTTATATCATGCTCTTATTGCTTTTATAGCCTTCTGAATCAGTGGAGAGATTTTGAGGAATCCAAGGGTGTGACAGACAGAAATCGCTGGCTGCGGAAGTACACGCTCAATGAATTTGTGTGTTATGTGTGCGGCATGATGGTTGCCAGGAAGAAGATGCGCACCTTGGAGGTGCAGAAATTTCTATTTCTGAGGGAGCATAAAGCACCAGCAAATGCATTAGTGATGTGGGGAGGGGAAGGTGTTGGAGTATGTGGATCCTGCCATTACAGTTTGTCCCATCAGTTCACAGAGTTTGAAAGACTTGGCCTGCCCATGGAGCTGCGGAAATACAACTGGACTGTCCAGCACCATACAGAAGAGAACAGCAATGATGCACATGACAGTGTAAGTACGTTTTCATCATCTTTATCTTTGAGGAGATTATAATTTGTCATCAGCTGCATTGGCACACACTTTTTAAACCTTGGTGCTAAAGTTTTGGTTGAGAAATTGTCATATGTAGGCTCACTGACAGCAGTTTGGGTGACAAAATTGAATGTTGATAACTGTAGTGATGGTAGCTGATCTCAAATCACTCCATTGAAGTCAGTCTTGTGCCTAAATTGTAGAGTCACAGTCTAATTTGTTCTCTCCTACTCTGATCTGTAGAGTCACAGTCTAATTTGTTCTCTCCTACTCTGATCTGTAGAGTCACAGTCTAATTTGTTCTCTCCTACTCTGATCTGTAGAGTCACAGTCTAATTTGTTCTCTCCTACTCTGATCTGTAGAGTCACAGTCTAATTTATTCTCTCCTACTCTGATCTGTAGAGTCACAGTCTAATTTATTCTCTCCTACTCTGATCTGTAGAGTCACAGTCTAATTTATTCTCTCCTACTCTGATCTGTAGAGTTACAATCTAATTTGTTCTCTCCTACTCTGATCTGTAGAGTCAGTCTAATTTGTTCTCCCCTACTCTGATCTGTAGAGTCACAGTCTAATTTGTTCTCTCCTACTCTGATCTGTAGAGTCAGTCTAATTTGTTCCCTTCTACTCTGATCTGTACAGTCACAGTCTAATTTGTTCTCTCCGACTCTGATCGTCGGCTCTGTGGCTAAAACGATGCGATTGCTTCGTAATGGCCGGGTTCGATCCCAGCTGCGGGCCATGCACCTTGCATTGGTTTCGACAGTGGTATCAAGAGAGCTGACCGACCAGTAAGCAATGGCAAACTACTGGACGTAAATGCCTAGAAAAACCACACAACAGCAAGGGGCTGTTGGGGTTGGTTCTGCAACGTCCTGTAAAGGATACGCAACTAACCTACTCTGATCTGTAAACAGTATAATTTATTGTCACTCTTCTGTGTACCCGTGGTAGCTCAGTAGATAACACACTTGAGTTCTGACTAACTGGTGATGAATTTGGATCCTTTCAAGGTCATGATTGTTGATGACACTGACCTGGGCTACAGGAAATGTGATGGCAAGCAAATAAAGAGTCTCAATGTTATGTTCACACACAAGAAATACTGATTAACCTAACAATATAATGACACACAACAACATTTTTATATGTTATATTTTGTATTCATCTAGAATTGCACAGAATATTCTAGTAGCAGTATATTATATTGGTGTGATTCTGAGCACATCCCCCCACCGATTGGACTGACATATTTGTAGAATTCAGCAAAACATCCCTAAAGCAATGATATTGTGTCTGTTTATAGAACCATGGAATGTCATCTGCTGCCATCAATGAAGACAGCAATCTAAGTGTGGCCGATGGAGCAGACGACTCTAATCACAGTAAGTTTGCATCTTCATGTTTGTCTGCTAAGATCATGAAATTTACCTCTCTGTATTGTGAAGGACATAACTTCTTTTACAGCTTGGGTGACATTATTCCCAATACTAGAGACAACAGACTCAGTCCACTTAAAGCTTGGGTGATAGACTTGACACATTCTCCAGACTAGAGACAACAGACTCAGTCCACTTAAAGCTTGGGTGATAGACTTGGCACATTCTCCAGACTAGAGACAACAGACTCAGTCCACTTAAAGCTTGGGTGATAGACTTGACACATTCTCCAGACTAGAGACAACAGACTCAGTCCGCTTAAAGCTTGGGTGATGGACTTGGCACAGTCTCAAGACTGGAGACAGCAGACCCAGTCCACTTTAAGCCAGCCAAACATGCTTTAGAGAAATTAGTGAGGAATCTTGTTCATAGCTTAACATTCATCAACTTATTTGGTGAAATCCCACTTTCAGACATGAACAGATACTTATTTAGGCATCAAAATGAGAAAGGTGGGTAGGTGGTACACATGTAAGAATACAGTAGGCAAGAAGAGAAGCTTTCATAGTTCTTCTTCTTCACTTCCTCTTTTACCGCTGTGGGTGTCGATGGAGATATAAGGTTCTGTTTCTAGCTCTTCTGGCCGCCTCGACCATGTGCTGTTGTAGAGTTTCTCTGATGTTATCCTTCCATAGTTTTTGGTCTACCTCATGCTCTACGTCCTTCTTCTCTTTCCATGTATGCTTTGTATGGTATGGTGTCACAAGGCATTCTCTCTAAGTGGGCAAACCATTTCACTTGCTCTTTGTATGTAATTTAGAATTGGTTCTGTGCCGACTTTTTTTTTCTTATGATCTCATTCCTGATCTTATCTCTAATGGTCACTCCTGCAGCCCTTCTCAGATATCTCATTTCCATGGTTACTAATTTTCTTTTATGGTTTGTTGTGAGTGACTGGCACTGGTAGCACAGAGTTGGAATAAATATGCTTTGAATAAGATGTCTATTTGTGCTGATTAGGATTGTCTTATGCTGTAAGAGGGGGTGGGCTAGCTGTCCCAATACTTGGTTTGCTTTACTACGTCTAATGTTAATTTCTTTATCCAATTTCCCATCTTCGGTAAATGTAGTTCCCAGATATTTAAACTCAGATGCTGTTTAATGCCTTTGCACTCTATTGCTATGTTTAGATCTGTCTTCTTTTTTCCTATTGACATTACTTGTATTCAATGTTCTTTTCTATTAACTGTTTAAGTGTGAAGATTGCATCTGTGCAGCTTCTATTTCTCCTAAATCCCATATGTTCTTCTGCCAGCTGTGGTTCTATTACTGGTCTCAGTCTTGTTTCTATTATCTTGGCATTCATTTTGCCAACATGGCTTAAAAGAGAGATGCCTCGGTATCGACCGCATTCTCGTTTGCTTCCTTTGTTCTTCCAAAATGGTATAACTATTGCATGTTGCCAATCAATAGGGGCAGTTTGTTGTACCCATGCCGCATTGAATATTCTGTGAAAGCATCTGATGCTGCTGTCACCTGCTATTTGAATGATTTCTGTTGGTAATCTATCAGCTCCTTCTGCTGTCACCTGCTATTTGAATGATTTCTGTTGGTAATCTATCAGCTCCTTCTGCTGTCACCTGCTGTTTGAATGATTTCTGTTGGTAATCTATCAGCTCCTTCTGCTGTCACCTGCTATTTGAATGATTTCTGTTGGTAATCTATCAGCTCCTTCTGCTGTCACCTGCTATTTGAATGATTTCTGTTGGTAATCTATCAGCTCCTTCTGCTGTCACCTGCTATTTGAATGATTTCTGTTGGTAATCTATCAGCTCCTTCTGCTGTCACCTGCTATTTGAATGATTTCTGTTGGTAATCTATCAGCTCCTTCTGCTGTCACCTGCTGTTTGAATGATTTCTGTTGGTAATCTATCAGCTCCTTCTGCTGTCACCTGCTGTTTGAATGATTTCTGTTGGTAATCTATCAGCTCCTTCTGCTGTAACCTGCTATTTGAATGATTTCTGTTGGTAATCTATCAGCTCCTTCTGCTGTCACCTGCTATTTGAATGATTTCTGTTGGTAATCTATCAGCTCCTGGTGCTGTCCTCTGCTGTTTGAATGATTTCTGTTGGTAATCTATCAGCTCCTTCTGCTGTCACCTGCTGTTTGAATGATTTCTGTTGGTAATCTATCAGCTCCTTCTGCTGTCACCTGCTATTTGAATGATTTCTGTTGGTAATCTATCAGCTCCTGGTGCTGTCCCCTGCTATTTGAATGATTTCTGTTGGTAATCTATCAGCTCCTTCTGCTGTCACCTGCTATTTGAATGATTTCTGTTGGTAATCTATCAGCTCCTGGTGCTGTCCCCTGCTATTTGAATGATTTCTGTTGGTAATCTATCAGCTCCTGCTACTTTCACCTGCTGTTTGGATGATTTTTGTTGGTAATCTATCAGCTCCTGCTGCTTTGATAGTTCACTATCAGCAATTTCTGATAGCCAAGAAAAGGCCAAATTACAAATAAGAGTTGTTCTTATCTGTAAATCTTGGCTGTAGATTTTATATGAAGGTTCACATGCTCATAGCCATCTAGATTCTGCTAAATCCCTAATCAAACACCAACTTGTGCCAGATTTAGCCATGTTACTCGTCTAGATTCTGCCATATCCCTAATCAAACACCAACTTGTGCCAGATTTGGCCATGTTACTCTTCTTGATTCAATGACAGTTTTTCTCAAAGCTAAGTATTAGGCACATACTGAAAACATATTCTCGTGAAATCCTGAACTGATAATATGAAAACAGAGACTGCCTGTGTCACTCACTGTCACATACATCTGAAAACAGCGACCAGGGCAAGACTTTGAGACCCATCCACTGTGGCCACCAGATTTCCAACTTATGGTTTTAAAATTAAAATATAAGAAGAGAAAATATTTGTGAATGAAACAGAAAAATCAACCTGCCTATAAATGAAGACTGACTTATTTTGACACAGCTGACACCAGCTTGCTGACAGTACACTAGTGTGTCCTAGATCCACAGATTATTATGTTTCCTTCTCGTCAGGTTCAGCACCGAGCACCAAACCAGTGTTCAGCCTGGCCAGCCCAGCTGCACATGCGGGGAAGCCCAGCCTGAAGTCTGCTCTTGTGCTTCCACAGAGTCGCATGTCACCCAGCAGCAACGGCTTGACCTCCAGCAGCCATAATCTCTCTCTCAGCACTTCACGCTCCGCAGGTTTTGCTGCAGCCTTGCGCAATCTGGCACATCAAATGAAAGAACCTTGTGGTAAGGATTTACATCTTTTATGTTCAGGTTTTTAGCAGAAGCTATACACCTGATGGCTTTCCCTCATTACTGCTGGCAGTCTGTTTGTTGTTTCACTTTACTATTCTGGCAAGAGGCCAACAAACACACACACACGCACGCATGCGTATGTATGTACTACCATGTTACCTGTGTGCTGTGAGCCATGAGGAAAGCAGAGAATAGTGATAAGCATGTCACTGAAGGCAGCTAAGGCAGGGTTGGTATGGAGCTGGCTACATCTTGTAGAAAACTTGAGCTGCGGAATTCATCCAACGTGAACAAGTCTGTAAAGGCTTGACTTGAATTGGTTGAATCCCTATGCTCCATTGTGAGGCACAAGGCAGATGAATAAAGAAAAAGAAGAAGGCTGTCTTCCCTTCAACCACTAGGACTGGTATCAGACTCATTTCCCCATTCATGCATCTTATGGCTTTCTAACAGGAACTAAGGACAAACAGTAGCCATATTCTCTTAGTTGGTTGTCATGAGGGCAATGATGTTGATTTTTCACCATGATCCAACAAGTAAAGAACCAATGGGATTGATAATGGTTCCAGTGGTTTCTGACTCTGGCATCTCTTGTTTACAAGTGGAAAACGAGTCTGTCTGTTTCTGTTAAGTTTTGAGTTCTAGCATAAAGTTTATTTAACTTTTCTTGCATTTCAGATGATGGTAACGAGAATAGCCTGACTTCCCCAACCAATCAAAATTCTCGGTCAAACACACCAAAGAGAAGCCAAGCTAGTCTGCTGCTGCCGTCTCACACAGCAAACAATTCGTTTACTGCGCCACCAGTCGTAACTGTGGCGCCAACACAAACATCCATGTTTCAGGGAGTGACCAGTTTTTCTTTGGTAAGTGAATGGAGACAGATTAATGAGATTGTACATGAATGGAGACAAGTCAATAAGATTGTGCGTGAATGAAGACAGATTAATGAGATTTTCCATCAATGGAGACAGGTTAATGAGATTGTGCATGAATGGAGACATATTAATGAGATTGTGTGTGAATGGAGACAGATTAATGAGATTGTGCATGAATGGAGACATATTAATGAGATTGTGTGTGAATGGAGACAGATTAATGAGATTGTGTGTGAATGGAGACAGATTAATGAGATTGTACATGAATGGAGACATATTAATGAGATTGTACATGAATGGAGACATATTAATGAGATTGTGTGTGAATGGAGACAGATTAATGAGATTGTGCATGAATGGAGACATATTAATGAGATTGTGTGTGAATGGAGACATATTAATGAGATTGTACATGAATGGAGACAGATTAATGAGATTGTACATGAATGGAGACAGGTCAATGAGATTGTGTGTGAATGGAGACATATTAATGAGATTGTACATGAATGGAGACAGATTAATGAGATTGTCCATGAATGGAGACAGATTAATGAGATTGTGCATGAATGGATACAGATTAGGGAGATTGTATTTGAATGAATGCAGATTAGGGAAGTTATACAGCCAATTATTACACACAGAGCAGAAGCACAAGGCTAGACCATTGATAGGAAACTGAGTCATTGCCATGACATTAGACTCGCCAGCAGAGAAGTTGTTGGCATGGCATTAGAATGATTTCTGACATAGCATTAGTCATGACTGACATGACATTAGAGTAGTTACTGACATGGCTTTTGAGGAGTGGCTGTCATGACAATAGAGTGGTCACTGACCTGGCTTTAGAAAGTCGCTGACATGGCATTATATGAATGGCAGTCATAACATTAGAAAAATGGCTGACATGACATAGCAGTGGCTATCATAACATTACCTGACATGACATTAGAGAAGTGGCCGACATGAAATTAGAGTGATGACATGTCATGACATTAGAGCGGTGACTGACATTACTTCTTTTTTTTTTCTTTTAGCATTCACCGGCTGTAAACTCCGGCTGAATGATCAGGTTGTTTTTCCAAGTTTTTCAACTTCTGCTCTTTATCTTGTTTTTTAAACTTGAGTTTTTGCGTGCACATTTAGTTGTACAGATCTGGCAGTTTATATTCAGGCTAAGGCTCCTCGCTTCTCAGGCAGTTGCACTGTGACTTGGAAGGCAAACCCCCAGTTAATCACCACTCACGACATGCTTATTAACACCCACACAGGGAACGGACATGACATAAGGATGACTGGAGGGGGCCGTGGGGGTGAGGGAGAGATTGACAGTGAGAGAGCACATTTTTAATATCATCAGTGAGAAAGATTCAGATATCTTTGCCATTACAGTATAAGAGGAACAATATTCGTCCAGATCTTTCCGTCCAGTTTTTGACCTCACTTGTATGGTTGTTGACCTTACTTGCATGGTTGTTGACCTCACTTGTATGGTTGTTGACCTCACTTGTATGGTTGTTGACCTCACTTGTATGGTTGTTGACCTCACTTGTATGGTTGTTGACCTCACTTGTCTGGTTGTTGATCTCACTTGTATGGTTGTTGACCTCACTTGTGTGGTTGTTGACCTCACTTGTGTGGTTGTTGACCTCACTTGTGTGGTTGTTGACCTTACTTGTGTGGTTGTTGACCTCACTTGTGTGGTTGTTGACCTCACTTGTGTGGTTGTTGACCTTACTTGTGTGGTTGTTGATCTCACTTGTGTGGTTGTTGATCTCACTTGTATGGTTGTTGATCTCACTTGTATGGTTGTTGATCTCACTTGTCTGGTTGTTGATCTCACTTGTGTGGTTGTTGATCTCACTTGTGTGGTTGTTGATCTCACTTGTGTGGTTGTTGATCTCACTTGTATGGTTGTTGACCTCACTTGTATGGTTGTTGATCTCACTTGTATGGTTGTTGATCTCACTTGTATGGTTGTTGGCCTCACTTGTCTGGTTGTTGACCTCACTTGTGTGGTTGTTGATCTCACTTGTACGGTTGTTGATCTCACTTGTGTGGTTGCTGATCTCACTTGTATGGTTGTTGACCTCACTTGTCTGGTTGTTGACCTCACTTGTGTGGTTGTTGATCTCACTTGTGTGGTTGTTGATCTCACTTGTGTGGTTGTTGACCTCACTTGTATGGTTGTTGACCTCATTTGTATGGTTGTTGACCTCACTTGTTGATCTCACTTGTATGGTTTTTATCTTGATGTGGTCTGTTTCTACTCTCCAGGGACAGGAAAGATCTCACACATCAACCTTTGAACCCTGGAGCAAACCTGACCCAGATCTCCCATCATTATCCACAGCTGATAGTGAATTGATTGGCAAAGATCTGCTTCTCTCCCGCACATCAGCCAGAGTGTATGTTTATCCTTATTTGTTTCATTATTGTTTGTTACATTATTGTCTTGCATTGTTGTGATACATTACTGTCTTATAGAAAGCAAAGAACAGGCCGATAATGCCAACAGTGGAAAGAGATAAAAACCACTATCTGTTAGTTCCCATTTATAAAGTGCACAAACAGGCACTTCCCAGAAATAATGCTTCACCTCGACAGTAATAGTTGTCCAGTTCTATTAACATTTGACTAAATGCCCAGGAACATTATGTACATTATATATATTTACATTAATGATGTACTGCTTTTCTTTCATGCAGTCCTTTCTCTTGTGCGTTTTGTTGTAGGACTAAACTGGCAAAATCTGTCCTTTTCTACCCTGAGATGTAGAGGCCATCTGTCCTCTTCTGTCTAGTGCCGTCGGAATTGGAACTCTTTTCTTGCTGCTGAAGATAGGGACGGAGGGCTTATGAAAGTATCCTGAGTGCTTTGATGTCGATTCTAATTCAACATTCCTCTTCTGTTTTGGGTGCAGAGAACAATATAGTGTGTCCTGTTGTGTGGAGGACTGTATGTCCTCTTCTGTCTTTGAGTGCAGAGAGCAGTATCTTTTATCCTGTTGTGTAGAGGACTTTATGTCCTCTTCTGTCTTTAGGTGCAGAGAACAATATCTTTCATCTTGTTGTGTAGAGGACTGAGGACATACAGTTGTTCTCTTCTGTCTTTAGGTGCAGAGAACAATATCGTGTATTCTGTTGTGTAGAGGACTGTATAACCTCTTCTGTCTTTGGGTGCAGAGAACAATATCGTGTATTCTGTTGTGTAGAGGAACACTTTTCTGTCTTTAGGTGCAGAGAACTGTATCTTTTATCTTGTTGTGTAGAGGACTGTATGTCCTCTTCTGTCTTTAGGTGCAGAGAACTGTATCTTTTATCTTGTTGTGTAGAGGACTGTATGTCCTCTTCTGTCTTTAGGTGCAGAGAACTGTATCTTTTATCTTGTTGTGTAGAGGACTGTATGTCCTCTTCTGTCTTTAGGTGCAGAGAACTGTATCTTTTATCTTGATGTGTAGAGGACTGTATGTCCTCTTCTGTCTTTAGGTGCAGAGAACAGTATCTTTTATCTTGTTGTGTAGAGGACTGTATGTCCTCTTCTGTCTTTGGGCGTGGAGAACAGTATCTTTTATCATGTGTAGAAGTCAGTTTTTCTATATTGTGATCAATCTGTTCCCTTCTAGCCTGAGATTAGAGGCCACTCAGTCTTCTGACCAATAATGTAGGGGTAAATCTACCCTTTTGTGACCTGAAATATATGGGCAATCTATCCTCTTTTGACCAGAGATTTAGAGATCAGTCTGTCTTTTCTTATCTGAGTTATAGAGGTCAGTCTAACCATTTCTGCCCTGAGATTTAGAGGCCAGTCTATATTTATAACAAGGTTCTCTGCTGAAGGCCAACAATAGCTGTCCATCTCTACTGAAGGCCAACAATAGCTGTCCATCTCTACTGAAGGCCAACAGTAGCTGTCCATTTCTACTGAAGGCCAACAGTTGCTGTCCATCTCTACTGAAGGCCAACAATAGCTGTCCATCTCTACTAAAGGCCAACAATAGCTGTCCATCTCTACTGAAGGCCAACAGTTACTGTCCATCTATACTGATGGCCAACAGTTGCTGTCCATCTGTACTGAAGGCCAACAGTATCTGTCCATCTTTGCTGAGGGGCAACAGTTGCTGTCCATCTCTACTGAAGGCTGACAGTTGCTGTCCATCTTTGCTGAAGGCCAACAGTTGCTGTCCATCTCTGCTGAAGGCCAACAGTTGCTGTCCATCTCTGCTGAAGGCCAACAGTTGCTGTCCATCTCTGCTGAAGGCCAACAGTTGCTGTCCATCTCTTCTGAAGGCTAACAGTTGCTGTCCATCTGTACTGAAGGCCAACAGTTGCTGTCCATCTTTGCTGAAGGCCAACAGTTGCTGTCCATCTCTACTGAAGGCTGACAGTTGCTGTCCATCTTTGCTGAAGGCCAACAGTTGCTGTCCATCTCTGCTGAAGGCCAACAGTTGCTGTCCATCTCTGCTGAAGGCCAACAGTTGCTGTCCATCTCTTCTGAAGGCTAACAGTTGCTGTCCATCTTTGCTGAAGGCCAACAATTGCTGTCCATCTCTACTGTATACCATGCAGCATCAATAGAGTCATCATAGATGTCAGAACAGTAGGTGACAGCCAACACAGGAACACGCTGATATTTTTATCTATGGCAGAACAGTAGGTGACTGCCAACACAGGAACACACTGATGTTTTTATATATGTCAGAACAGTAGGTGACAGCCAACACAGGAACACACTGATGTTTTATATATGGCAGAACAGTAGGTGACAGCCAACACAGGAACACACTGATGTTTTATATATGTCAGAACAGTAGGTGACAGCCAACACAGGAACACGCTGATGTTTTTATTTATGGCAGAACAGTAGGTGACAGCCAACACAGGAACACACTGATGTTTTTATATATGTCAGAACAGAAGGTGACAGCCAACACAGGAACACACTGATGTTTTATATATGGCAGAACAGTAGGTGACAGCCAACACAGGAACACACTGATGTTTTATATATGGCAGAACTGTAGGTGACAGCCAACACAGGAACACACTGATGTTTTATCTATGTCAGAACAGTAGGTGACAGCTAACACAGGAACACGCTGATGTTTTTATTTGTGGCAGAACAGTAGGTGACAGCCAACACAGAAACACACTGATGTTTTTATATATGTCAGAACAGTAGGTGACAGCCAACACAGGAACACGCTGATGTTTTTATCTATGTCAGAACAGTAGGTGACAGCTAACACAGGAACTCACTGATGTTTTTATTTATGGCAGAACAGTAGGTGACAGCCAACACAGGAACACACTGATGTTTTTATATATGTCAGAACAGTAGGTGACAGCCAACACAGGAACACACTGATGTTTTTATATATGTCAGAACAGTAGGTGACAGCCAACACAGGAACACTCTGATGTTTTTATTTATTGCAGAACAGTAGGTGACAGCCAACACAGGAACACACTGATGTTTTTATATATGGCAGAACAGTAGGTGACAGCCAACACAGGAACACATTGATGTTTTTATATATGAGTCTAGGAATGTTGTTGACGGCAGCCATGTTTGTGCACTGTCCCCGGAACACACTGATGTTTTATTTATGAGTCTAGGAATGTTGTTGACGGCAGCCATGTTTGTGCACTGTCCCCGGAACACACTGATGTTTTATTTATGAGTCTAAGAATGCTGTTGACGGCAGCTATGTTTGTGAACTGTTGCAGGCCCGCTCCAAGATCCATCAGTGCCAGTGGTGTGCCAGTGACTAGCCAGATGCTGTACGCTAGAAACTTCCCTGCCTACCACCCCGAAGAGGAGGAGCTCATACGACATGGCCTAACGCTGCCTTATGGTATAGATCCTGCTGCCTATGCTGCTGCTGCTAGTGCCTACCATCCTGCCCTGCTGCAGCAACAAGCTGCGTTTGCTCAAGGCTCTCTGAGGTTAGATCATTCAGTCAAGTTGATATGCTTCTGTTGTTCCACTTTTGCCTCGCTCCTGTACCATCCACATGGGACAGGTACAGTTTATATTGAACTTGAATCAGATTTATGTAAAACAACAAAACAAACAATTATTTAGTACAGTGTACCATATTTTGACGTGTATAAGAGCAAATGATTTCTCAAATATTTTAAGTTTAAAATGGAGAGGGGGGGGGGGGGGGGGAGCACTGAACAGTCAAGATGCTCAGTGCTACACAATATAGACCATGAGAAGATGATTCAGGCATACCATGTTTCACCTAAAATAAAACCTAACGTGAAAATAAGCCCTAGCATGATTGTTCAGAATGCTCATAATATAAGCCCTACCTCCAGTAGTTATGAACGTCCTAGTTAAGAACATGTTTTGTTCCTCTGTTGAAACACATGGTGGACATATTGATTTATAATGCAAAGGACCCCTTTCATTGCCTTCAGGCGTACAGGCAATCTAGTACTAGGCTTAGATTTATATAGACCTAAAAGACATTGGGTGGGAGATGTCAAGATCAAGGCACCGCCTTTACTTCCTGGTACCAATGTAAGGCCAGGTCAACTTGGCAGCTAGGGAAAACGTCTGACTGTTCAGGTTTAAACCCATGTCTTTCTGATCCGCAGGTGAGCTGCCAGCCGCTGCACTGTGGCAGTTCCCCGGTTATAAAGCAATAAATGTATAAATAATATTATAAACATTAGTGCTTTAATATGTGATAATATAAATTATATTTAAATATTTATAAATCCACCGGGGGGCACTTTTTTGTAAGAGGGGTAAACAACTATGTATAAGTATCACAGAACTTGGTAGCACTCATGCAGTGGGACCTTTTCATGATGTGTGCCTGCTCTCCAAACATTTGATAGACACCAGATAAAAATATTTTTGTTTACTTGAATAAATGATAGTCCTTTCAAGGTGAGATGTGGGCATCACCAAAGACATCATTCATCAAGTTGTTTCCTTTGTTGCATTTTGCCTGCACAGATTAGGGGACACCTTGCTGTTGGACCAGTACAGGATGTTGCAGTCACCATACTTGCAGTTTCCTGCTGCTGCGGGATTGATCTCCCCTCATTCTCTCGGCTTAGGCATGCATTCAGTCTTGGCTGCAGCAGCTGCATCTCAGCACTACCCACCTGGATTGTTTCCCCAGCACTACCCCTACCTCAGTTTTGGTCAACCAGTGATGGACCCTCATACCTCGGCACAAGCTGTTGCCATGGAAAGGTGAGAACTTGTGGGGTTTGTCGTTCTTCTTGTACTTTTGTCACAAAAACTTATTGCCATGGGCAGTTGAATGGTGTGAGTTGTCTTTCTGTTGCCGTGGACATTTGAATGATGTGTGTTGTCTTTCTGTTGCCATGGATATTTGAATGATGTGTGTTGTCATTCTGTTGCCGTGGACATTTGAATGATGTGTGTTGTCATTCTGTTGCCATGGATATTTGAATGATGTGTGTTGTCTTTCTGTTGCCGTGGACATTTGAATGATGTGTGTTGTCTTTCTGTTGCCGTGGACATTTGAATGATGTGTGTTGTCTTTCTGTTGCCGTGGACATTTGAATGATGTGTGTTGTCTTTCTGTTGCCGTGGATATTTGAATGATGTGTGTTGTCTTTCTGTTGCCGTGGATATTTGAATGATGTGTGTTGTCATTCTGTTGCTGTGGACATTTGAATGATGTGTGTTGTCATTCTGTTGCCATGGACATTTGAATGATGTGTGTTGTCACTGTGTTGCTGTGGACATTTGAATGATGTGTGTTGTCATTGTGTTGCTGTGGACATTTGACTGATGTGTGTTGTCATTGTGTTGCTATGGACATTTGAATGATGTGTGTTGTCATTGTGTTGCTGTGGACATTTGACTGATGTGTGTTGTCATTGTGTTGCTATGGACATTTGACTGATGTGTGTTGTCATTGTGTTGCTATGGACATTTGAATGATGTGTGTTGTCATTGTGTTGCTATGGACATTTGAATGATGTGTGTTGTCATTGACATTTGAATGATGTGTGTTGACATTATGTTGCCATGGACATTTGAATTATGTGTGTTGTTATTCTGATGCTATTGACATCTGAATGATGTGTGTTGTCATTGTGTTGCCATAGACATTTGAATGATGTGTGTTGTTATTCTGTTGCTATTGGCATCTGAATGATGTGTGTTGTCATTCTGTTGCCATGGACATTTGAGTAATTTATGATATGGCTGAGCCTAGCAGTTGCCACTTAGTGTATAGGCCAGGGTAACAACAACAAGAAACAAACTCCCAAGTCTTGCCAAGGATCAACTACTCCTATGCCAAGAAAGAATTCACCATACTTAACTAATCAACACAGACTGATTGGTTTGGTTTAGTATTTGCCGCTGCTGTTAGTCCATGTCAGAGCTGAAAGGTGTAGATACAAATTAATGTTTGATGGTATCTCTTGTCCAACATTTGCTAGGTAATGTAGAGTCAGATCTGGATGTAATCATCTGGTTTCATGCTTCAAATCTTCCCAGTTAGCTTTCTGATGGAAACCAAGCTGTGGGGAATCAGTGAGGCATGAGTAGCGTCTGAGTCTTGTTTAGGGTCTGAGACCTCATCTGAGAATCACAAGCAGGGAGAAGGAAGATATTGTGATGTCATGTTTACACTGTTAGCAGAGCATCATTGTTTGATGTATTTTATAAATATCCTGTATTGATTGATGCTGGATGTTCATTCCAACAGTGACCTGTGGCATTTATGGCTCGTTTCAGAAGTTGGTTAGATGCTGAAAAGGCCAGAGACAAGAGGGACAGAGAAAAGACTCGGCATCAGGAGCATTCAAGTGAGAAAGAGAATAGTCATCGTAGGAGTGATTCTAGAGGAGAACAAGATTTGATCAAGAAGGAGGTGAACATCAACTCTGAAGGTTTTGGACATGGAAGTTTAGAACGGAAAAGCACACCTTGTGTCTCAGTTTGTCAGTCATCGCGTTCACCAGAGCTGTTGTCACGCCAGTTCAGTGAGAGCCATAATGGGCATCCTGCCAGTCGGCCGACATCATCCTTGTCTGCATCCAGTGGACACAGGCCAGGTGGGAGCTTGTTTGTTAGTTGTTGAGTGCTTCTTGGTAGAAATACTCTCGTTATTTGTTTTTTTGTTTTTGTTTTTAAATGTTTCTTCTTCAGCTTTTGGGTCTAGGTTTGTCTTTTGTTTATTATCTTAAGGTCTAAAAGTACCTTACAGTCTTGTTTAGTCTGTCCTCTTCTACCCTGGGATAAAGAGGTACCTTACAGTCTTGTTTTGCCTGTCCTCTTCTACCCTGGGGTGTAGAGGTGGCTTACAGTCTTGTTTTGTCTGTCCTCTTCTACTCTGGGGTGTAGAGGTGGCTTACAGTCTTGTTTTGTCTGTCCTCTTCTACCCTGGGGTGTAGAGGTGGCTTACAGTCTTGTTTTGTCTGTCCTCTTCTACTCTGGGGTGTAGAGGTGGCTTACAGTCTTGTTTTGTCTGTCCTCTTCAGCACTGGGATCCATTGCCCTATCACCTAGAAAACTTGTGTGCACCTGTGACTTTGTGCCTGACAGCAAGGCATAGTTAACCAGCAGACAAGGGACTCTTTTCATGCCTTCAGCCCAGGGAGAATATAGTGCTAGACCTGTGTTTTTATAGACCAGTCGACCCGCTGTGGGTAAACCAGCTGCCTTTACTTCCCAGAACATTACCTGGTGCCCGTTGAGGCTGGGACAACCTGGGAGCAAAGATCAGTTTTGAACGGACAGAAAAAGCTTCCATTCAAATTTGAGCACTAGGCCGTCAGCAGCGACACCTCTGTGTCTTTGTAGGCATAGTTAGTGAGTAAATTCAACCTGGTGACTGTTGCACTGACATACACTGTCCCATCCTGGCCAGATCTGTTGCAGTGATTCTTCACCTAGGAACCATACCATGTCTGCTCCCTGTGTGTGTTTTGGGGCTCCAGGAATAGACCCACTGCCTCCCCAACAAGCATGTCATAAGAGTTAGTTAATCTGCAAAGTCAGACTGCATCTGTCTGAGAGGCAAGAAACTAACTGTAGAATGAATGCACACACAACCCTTAGGTTCTGGAGCAGGACTCATGTCCCGGGGTGGATGAACACCCAGAACTTTTGACCAGAGTTTACAGATGGTGATGTAGCGCAAGTGAATAATTGTGTGTTCTTGTGCCGTAGGTAATCCCATATTCTGCTGTTTGATCCATCAGTTGCCAAGATGAGCCCGGGAGCAAGCAGCCAGGCCACAGAAGCATCAACACATCCAGGTCTCAGCTCGGCCTCCAGTCATGCTTCTCTCAGATCTCACAGTTCCACCTTACCATCTAGAGGCCTGACGTTCAAGCCTTATGAGAAGGTAAACATCAGATTTATACAGTAAGGGAGGGTGAACATTGGATTTTTACACTTAGAAAAGGTAAACATTGGATATTTACAGTAAAAAAAGTAAACATCAGATTTATACAGTTAAGAGAAGGTAAACATCAGAATTTTACAGTTAGAGAATGTAAACATCAGACTTGTACAGTCAGAGAAGGTAAACATCAGACTTTTACAGTTAGAGAAGGTAAACATCAGACTTGTACAGTCAGAGCAGGTAAACATCAGACTGGTACAGTCAGAAAAGGTAATCATCAGACTGGTACAGTCAGAGCAGGTAAACATCACACTGGTACAGTTAGAGCAGGTAAACATCTGACTGGTACAGTCAGAGCAGGTAAACATCATACTGGTAGTCAGAGCAGGTAAACATCACACTGGTACAGTCAGAGAAGGTAAACATCAGACTGGTACAGTCAGAAAAGGTAAACATCAGACTGGTACAGTCAGAAAAGGTAAACATTAGACTTGCACAGTCAGAGAAGGTAAACATTAGACTTGTAGAATGCAATGTTTCTGACATTTTAGTAGAATACATAATAGAAAGTTTGACCCCCCTCTCCCCCCCCCCCTCCCCCTCCCCTTTGCATTGGCCCCATTGTGATTGAAGCACAAAATGATTGTCTTCTGTTGAAGTAGTTATGTTTGTTTGTGTCTCTGCGCAGCTTTATGAGTCAAGCCAGCCTTCATCCCAGCCTGTCCTAGACCAACACCAGCCTCACAGTCATCACCAGGGCTCTACATTACCTCCATGGATGAGATCCTCAACATCATCTTCATCTAAAAGTTCTCATGACAAGAACAAGAACCCAGACTTCACCCCGCTGTTTCGACCTTTTGATGACCACAAGGACACTGTAGAATTCCCGTCCACTGCTGCTCAGTCTGTCCACCCCACCCACAGACAGTGGTCATTTGATAGTTCATCGCCCATGTTGCCCTTCCAGTTTACAGGACCTGACATCAACAGCACAGCTGTGGATTCATCTGGTGGGTTAAATAATGCCCACTCACGGACAAGTCCATTGCTTTCTTTAAATAAAGACTCAAGTTTTGTGCCTAAAAACTATGCCAGGAAACAAGCAGAAAATGGCTTCAATGACAGGATCAAAAGATTTGATTTCAAAAGCCTTGCCAATGAGTGCACAGCATCTGCTTCTGTCCATCGCCAGCCGAGTGTCAACAGTGATATTCTCCCTACAACAGCAGAGTCCAGGCAGTTCCTCAGCAAACTCGACTTTGAGGCGGCGAGGGCTAAAGAAAGGAAGAAGAGAGGTGAGGACACAGATTCTGATAGTGAGAAAGACAAGGAGGAGAGAATGAGAGTCAGGTTAACAATGGTTGGTCGAGCTACTCCAATTCCTTTGGACACGTCTCCACCAAAAATGGAATTTCTGGAAAATTTGGGATTAACTTCATGGAAAAAGAAAAAAGGTAAGATTAATATTGATTGAAAATATTTGTACTCAGAACAGTTCTCATCTACATTCTGTATGTCTTGAAGTAGAGAAGAAAGTGTGTCCCCATAACTCCACCTTGTAGTGATACAGTCTAATTGCGAACCACAGTGCAGCATGCCAACTGACCTTTAAGGTCGAATAAGGAAGAAGAAGAAGAAATTAAAGGTAATGTTTTGATGCACTGTATGCAGTCACTCACAAAATTAACAAATGTGGAAAGAACTTGGATTGACCCCTTTGCCTTTGTGCTGTAAATCCCAATTTTTTCTGAAAAGGCAGTGTTCAATTGAAACAGGGCCTGGGTATCAGAGGGCTGTGTGTCTCATTGACGTCATTAGTTCCTGACTTGCTACATCTTGTATGAATGACAAGGGACATCACCACAATCTGATTTCCTTCTTCAGAACTGAACAGGCAGAAAGAAATTCGCCGTCGCCGCCAGCTGAGATTGTCCAGCATCAGCCCACTCCAACAGGAAGCAGACAGCTCGCTGGGGTTCTGCGGGGACAGCATGAGGTCCTTGAACCATCATTCCACACACAGTGCGTCTTCACAGGAAGCAGCTGTCAGTCCAGAGGATAAGAACACTGAAGTAGACCTGGGTGACAAGTCTGAGTTTGTGACCAGGCTGGGCTTGATGTCAGTCACTGAGCAACAGACTGAGGGTGAGTTTCCATGAAGCTGCCCTACCACCTTCATGTCAGGAATTTAACTCTGTTGCCCCAGTAATGCTTTAAAAAACAAGTGTCATGACCCCTTGGGAATTACTGGAAAATCCTTTAAAAAAATTAAACAGTATTAATCAGGTCACTAATAAATGTATTTTAACTATATCTTCGTTAAAAAATATAAATATATATAAAGGGAGCACAAACCAAGTGAAACATTAAATGAAATGCATTTGCAGGGACCTAAAAGCAGTGTATTGTATATCGGTGACTCATGCCTCGACCCCATTACCTCTATCACCGAGGTTTATGGGAACATTTGAAGTAAGCTTGGCATTATACAAGTTCACAGGAAAACATCCAAAATGCTATTTTTCTAGCTAATGTATGCATGTCGCACACCAACCACATATTACAATTAAAAATGAAGAAATAGAAGATGTCACAGATATAGAATAATTGGGCTCTTTAGTGAACAAAAGGGGCGACTGCTCGAAAGAAGTCAGAAGAAGACTTGCATTAGCAGTGCAGAGATTAAACAGCATGAAGAACCTATGGCAAAGCACCTGTAAATTGGTTAAAGTAAAATTCTAGAGATCATGCGTTTTTCCTGTGGCAACTTACGGTTGTGAGTCTTGGACTCTCACTCAGTCACTGAAGTCAAAGATTGGATCTTTTCCTGTGGCAACTTACGGTTGTGAGTCTTGGACTCTCACTCAGTCACTGAAGTCAAAGATTGGAGCTTTTGCATTAAAATGCTACAGAAAAACTACCTGAATGCCATGGATAAAGAAAAGGAAAAACATCCACATTCTACACGAGTAAAACATCAAGGAGAACTGGCTCACAGCATTCTGTCCTGAAAGTGGAAGTATTTGACCACATCAAACGTCCTGGTGGCTTGGAAAAGATGGTGATGGAGGGTACAGTTTGTGGAAGGGAAGGCAGGGGTCGACCACAGCGAAGATGGGTACAGGACATTGACAATGCATTGAAAGCACATGGGTTTGGAGAGCTGGTAAGGGAAACTTTTAGGCGTGCTGTGAGGAAAGTGACCTATCTGGGTTCTGCAGTGAATAACAAACTCGCTGGATCAAGACATCAACATCAGACTAGGTAAGGCAGCAACAGCAATAAGCAGATTGACAAAAAGAGTTTGGGAGAACAGAAAGCTGACGATTGAAACAAAAACTCTTGTCTTTCAGGCTTGTGTTCTCAGCACTCTGCTTTATGGCAGTGAAACTTGGTCAACCTATTTGCACCAGGAGAGACGGCTAAATAGCCTTTACATGTGATGCCTAAGAAGAATACTTGGCATTAAGTGGCAGGACAAGATCGCAAACACTGGGGTATTGGAAAGAGCAGGTACTACAACAGTCTTCTCAATGCTCAGTCTGCAAATGCTGAAGAATGGAGGATAGCAGAGTCTATCAGGACATCCTTTATGGGGAATTAATGATGGGTAGAAGATGTCGAGGCCGACTTTTACCACGATATAAAGACGTGTGAATACTGGATGCAAATGATACAGGTACTGTGGACTCCTGGGAACAAAATGCTTTGGACCATGTTGTGTGGAGAGGGCATATCAGGAAGGGAATGAGAATGAAGAGGGAAATGACTGCAGAAAGAATAAGAGCTGAGCGTTTGAGAAGAAACAGACTGAACACAAATGTTAACAACAAAGCTCCTGACATCCCATGCTATCATTGTTTAAGATTCTTAACGCTGGTGGGTCTTGCTGATCACACTCACCATCGCCATGGGCTGTGAGTCCCATGTCTCCTCATAGCACGGTATAACACCAGCGTCTGGAAAGACAGAAAGGCACCAGTCAAATCATTATGCCATAAAATTCTAAAGTGACGTGGCTGTGGCTATCAACAAAATTGTTTGTCATGGTCAAAGAGAAAGTAAGCAGTTAATTTCTTTGCTCTGTTTGATTTAATGAATAATTTGGGGCACCTATAATGTTATATTAGTAATTGTATTGATTTGACAGCCGTGATATAGCTGTGGAAATGATTATATTGATTTGACAGGAGTGATGTTGTGGACTTCTGTCAGTTATTTTATTTATTTGATAGACGTGATGAAGCTGTAAACCTTAATCAATGATTATATTGATTTGACAGCTGTGAAGTAGCTGTGGACTTCAATCAATGATTATATTGATTTGACAGCCGTGATTTAGCTGTGGACTTCAATCAGTGATTTATTGATTTGACAGCCGTGATTTAGCTGTGGACTTCAATCAGTGATTTATTGATTTGACAGCCGTGATGTATATGTGGACTTCAATCAGTGATTTATTGATTTGACAGCCATGATGTAGCTGTGGACTTCATGCTGGGGCTGCTTGGTGGTCTAGGTGTTTGACCAAGACTGCACATTTCTTTGCTGCTGCTTCGCATCCTTTCATGTCTGAGCATAGTTGAGTTTAGGAGAATTATAAGGATGTTTATTTTTTTAAACAAAGTTTATGTAAAAGTCTTTTTTTTTTTTTTTTTAAAGATTTGTATGGGGCAACAGGTTCAATGTTCTTGATCATTTCTTTCTGAGATATTCCTCCATGCAGATTTTGCTAGCATCATTTCTTTCTGTGATATTCCTCCATGCAGATTTTGCTAGCATCATTTCTTTCTGTGATATTCCTCCATGCAGATTTTGCTAGCATCATTTCTTTCTGTGATATTCCTCCATGCAGATTTTGCTAGCATCATTTCTTTCTGTGATATTCCTCCATGCAGATTTTGCTAGCATCATTTCTTTCTGTGATATTCCTCCATGCAGATTTTGCTAGCATCATTTCACCTTGTCATATTCCTCCATGCAGATTTTGCTAGCATCATTTCTTTCTGTGATATTCCTCCATGCAGATTTTGCTAGCATCATTTCTTTCTGTGATATTCCTCCATGCAGATTTTGCTAGCATCATTTCACCTTGTCATATTCCTCCATGCAGATTTTGCTAGCATCATTTCTTTCTGTGATATTCCTCCATGCAGATTTTGCTAGCATCATTTCTTTCTGTGATATTCCTCCATGCAGATTTTGCTAGCATCATTTCTTTCTGTGATATTCCTCCATGCAGATTTTGCTAGCATCATTTCACCTTGTCATATTCCTCCATGCAGATTTTGCTAGCATCATTTCACCTTGCCATATTCCTACATGCAGATTTTTCTAGCATCATTTCACTTTGTCATATTCCTCCATGCAGATTTTTCTAGCATCATTTCACCTTGTCATATTCCTCCATGCAGATTTTGCTAGCATCATTTCACCTTGTCATATTCCTCCATGCAGATTTTGCTAGCATCATTTCTTTCTGTGATATTCCTCCATGCAGATTTTGCTAGCATCATTTCACCTTGTCATATTCCTCCATGCAGATTTTGCTAGCATCATTTTACCTTGTCATATTCCTCCATGCAGATTTTGCTAGCATCATTTCTTCTTGATGCTCCTCATTGTCACAGTATCCTGCAGTGCTCACTGTCCTTCTAGCTGATGAGTCTGTGCAGAGTTTATGAGAGGAAGCAGCTACTGCTTGGCTGACCACATTGTGTGTGTGTGTTGAAACAGCTGGGTTCCTGACAGAGCATGGGTGCACAGTGTGAGCTGATTTAGGACAAGTCTGTGGCTATGAAGACACTAACTATTATAACAATTTCATCTGCAAGGCCGACCACATTATGGACATCTGTTGAAACTACTGGCGACCTGACACAGCATGAGAACACAATGATGAGCTGGTTCTGGACAAGTCCATGACTATGAAGGCACCAACTTTATTGAGATGATTTCATGTGCCTGGCTGGAACTGAGGGTCCATTGACTTACGGTAGATTCTTTGGCCAGTTAGGCCACATGGAACAATCATCGGTGGCCATATGTAGTTGTCCGTTGACCTGACCTGATTCTCGTCCCACCCACATGATAAAGTACAAGAGAAGTCCCCCGTGTGGGTTCTGGGGCCCTATTATAGGGAAAACAAGAATAGACCCACTGCCTACTCAAAACCATGTCGTAAGAGTCGACTAATTGGGAGCTTCCTTCGAAGTCGGAGTGCATCTGCCTGAGAGGCAAGGAACCAGCAGTCTGCATACAAATGAGTCAGATCTGTAAAACAGATGCACACGAAACACTCAGGTTCTGGAACAGGACTGCAGTCCAGCAGTGGATAAACAACCAGAACTTTCCGCCAGAGTTTACAGCTGGTGAACACGAAGAAGAAGAAGAAGACAAGAGAAGTAGGCACAGTCAAGCACATGTTGACTCAATGTTGTCATGATATCATTTTCACCTTCATCAGTTCATGGTGGCAAGAGGAAGCTCAATGAAGATGAAAGCCCATCAGAGAATCTCCCTCAGAAGAAAGGTATCCATGAAACATCAGAAGCAGCTGCAGCTTGTCTTGGTGATGACAGCAGAGACCAACTTCATGAGAACGTTTTATCGGATTCCCAGAGACTGACACAACATCAGGATACCTCAAGTAAAACATTGCTATACCTGGACACACCAAAACTTCAGGACCAGCCCAGACGGCCAGCATCTGGAAACTGTCATCAGTCAGTTGCAGGTAGGGTTGACAGCTTGTGGTCATTTTGTTTGTAGGGTTGACAGCTTGTGGTCATTTTGTTTGTAGGGTTGATAGCTTGTAGTCATTTTGTTTGTAGGGTTGACAGCTTGTGGTCATTTTGTTTGTAGGGATGACAGCTTGTGGTCATTTTGTTTGTAGGGTTGACAGCTTGTGGTCAGTGTGATTGTAGGGTTGACAGCTTGTGGTCAGTGTGATTGTAGGGTTGACAGCTTGTGGTCAGTGTGATTGTAGTGTTGACAGCTTGTGGTCAGTGTGATTGTAGGGTTGACAGCTTGTTGTCTGTGTGTTTGTAGGGTTGACAGCTTGTGGTCATTTTGTTTGTAGGGTTGACAGCTTGTGGTCAGTGTGTTTGTAGGGTTGACAGCTTGTGGTCAGTGTGATTGTAGGGGTGACAGCTTGTGGTCATTTTGTTTGTAGGGTTGACAGCTTGTGGTCATTTTGTTTGTAGGTTTGACAGCTTGTGGTCATTTTGTTTGTAGGGTTGACAGCTTGTGGTCAGTCTGATTGTAGGGTTGACAGCTTGTGCTCAGTGTGATTGTAGGGTTGACAGCTTGTGGTCAGTGTGTTTGTAGGGTTGACAGCTTGTGGTCAGCGTGATTGTAGGGGTGACAGCTTGTGGTCATTTTGTTTGTAAGGTTGACAGCTTGTGTTCATTTTGTTTGTAGGGTTGACAGCTTGTGGTCAGTGTGTTTGTAGGGTTGACAGCTTGTGGTCAGTGTGATGTGATTTTAGGGTTGACAGCTTGTGGTCAGTGTGTTTGTAAGGTTGACAGCTTGTGGTCAGTGTGATTGTAGGGGTGACAGCTTGTGGTAATCTTGTTTGTAGGGTTGACAGCTTGTGGTCATTTTGTTTGTAGGGTTGACAGCTTGTGGTCAGTGTGTTTGTAGGGTTGACAGCTTGTGATCAGTGGGTTTGTAAGGTTGACAGCTTGTGGTCATTTTGTTTGTAGGGTTGACTGCTTATGGTCAGTGTTTGTAGGGTTGACAGCTTGTGGTCAGTGTGATTGTAGGGTTGACAGCTTGTGGTCAGTGTGTTATTGTTCAAGTGTAGACAGACCCTCTTTCAGTTAGCAGTAGAGGAGTTTACAGTCTTCATGAATTTAATTTCTTTGTCAGAAACAGGACGGCTACAAGGGGCAGACTAAAGGGGCATAATCCTCTTGCTTAACTTGGGGAGGGAATTAGTTTAAGAATGGCAAAACCAACAGAAACTCGTATATCAAACATGTGCCTTGTTTGGGTGGCTTTGCACCTTCCTCTTATGATGTGCCTTGTTTGCTGATAGCTTTGGTACTATGCTCAGCATTGAATATTTTTCCAGCGTACTTTATCTCTGTCTTGTTATCCTTCTGTAGCATCATCAACTTATTGTTTCCATTCTTGGCCTGTGTAAAATATTTGTTACGTTAGAGATCTCTGTAAAATGGTTATGTTAGAGACCTCTGTAAAATGGTTCTTGTGTTTGTGACCTCTGTAAAATGGTTGTTGTGTTAGTGACCTCTGTAAAGTGGTCGTTAATGTTAGTGACCTCTGTAAAGTGGTCGTTAATGTTAGTGACCTCTGTAAAATGGTTGTTGTGTTTGTGACCTCTGTAAAATAGTTGTTGTGTTTGTGACCTCTGTAAAATGGTTGTTGTGTTAGTGACCTCTGTAAAATGGTTGTTATGTTAGTGACCTCGGTAAAATGGTTGTTAGTGACCTATGTAAAATGGTTGTTATGTTAGTGACCTATGTAAAATGGTTTTTTATTATAGTGACCTCTGTAAAATGGTTTTTAATGTTAGTGACCTGTGTAAAATGGTTGTTAATGTTAGTGACCTCTGTAAAATGGTTGTTAATGTTAGTGACCTGTGTAAAATGGTTGTTGTGTTTGTGACCTCTGTAAAATGGTTGTTAATGTTAGTGACCTCTGTAAAATGGTTGTTAATGTTAGTGACCTGTGTAAAATGGTTGTTAATGTTAGTGACCTCTGTAAAATGGTTGTTAATGTTAGTGACCTCTGTAAAATGGTTGTTAATGTTAGTGACCTGTGTAAAATGGTTGTTGTGTTTGTGACCTCTGTAAAATGGTTGTTATGTTAATGACCTCTGTAAAATGGTTGTTATGTTAGTGACCTACATGTTGTAGTCTCTGTGTGGGTTCCTCGGCCCCATTTAAAGAAGAAAACAAGAACAGACCCCTCCTGCCCTCAGACAAGCATGTTGCAGGAGGTGACTAATGGGGGGGGGGGGAAAGGGGGGGCAGGTCCTGGAACAACGCCAAAGTCTAAGATAGATATGGACGAACAAGGACTTTCTGCCCGGGTGTACAACTGGTAAGCGTAAACAGCGGTTTGTTGTAACATTCCATCTGTCATAGATATTTGTTTTATTTCAGCCACAGCTCATAATTTAATTGACCCAGAAGCATTTTCATCTCCTGCTGTGTCCTTGACCTCCAGAAATGTGTCCCTTCTGCCTGAGAATCCAAACATTCCGTGGCCAGGGGTCGAAACTGTGATGGAGTCTTACCAGAGACACAAAGAAGGTAGTTGTAAGGAACATAATGATAGTGTCAGAAACATTTTTGTCTGGTTTTACAAAAAAATGTTGGAGCAATAGTTACCAGTTGTAAAGATGGTTTAAAAAAAAAAAGAAAATTGTTCATGCCCTGTCTGTACTCGGTGGATGATGTGATCAGTGGTGTAAAGTGCTAGATCTATACTTCATAGACCTATATGTACTCGGTGGATGATGTGATCAGTGGTGTAAAGTGCTAGATCTATACTTGATAGACGTATCGGTACTCAGTGGATGATGTGATCAGTGGTGTAAAGTGCTAGATCTATACTTGATAGACCTATCGGTACTCAGTGGATGATGTGATCAGTGGTGTAAAGTGCTAGATCTATACTTGATAGACCTATCAGTACTCAGTGGATGATGTGATCAGTGGTGTAAAGTGCTAGATCTATACTTGATAGACCTATCGGTACTCGGTGGATGATGTGATCAGTGGTGTAAAGTGCTAGATCTATACTTTATAGACCTATATGTACTCGGTGGATGATGTGAACAGTGGTGTAAAGTGCTAGATCTATACTTGATAGACCTATCGGTACTCAGTGGATGTTGTGATCAGTGGTGTAAAGTGCTAGATCTATACTTGATAGACCTATCGGTACTCAGTGGAGGATGTGATCAGTGGTGTAAAGTGCTAGATCTATACTTGATAGACCTATCGGTACTCAGCGGAGGATGTGATCAATGGTGTAAAGTGCTAGATCTATACTTTATAGACCTATATGTACTCGGTGGATGATTTAATCAGTGGTGTAAAGTGCTAGATCTATACTTGATAGACGTATCGGTACTCAGTGGATGATGTGATCAGTGGTGTAAAGTGCTAGATCTATACTTGATAGACCAATCGGTACTCAGTGGATGATGTGATCAGTGGTGTAAAGTGCTAGATCTATACTTTATAGACCTATGGTACTCAGTGGATGATGTGATCAGTGGTGTAAAGTGCTAGATCTATACTTGATAGACGTATCGGTACTCAGTGGATGATGTGATCAGTGGTGTAAAGTGCTAGATCTATACTTTATAGACCTATATGTACTCGGTGGATGATGTGATCAGTGGTGTAAAGTGCTAGATCTATACTTGATAGACGTATCGGTACTCAGTGGATGATGTGATCAGTGGTGTAAAGTGCTAGATCTATACTTTATAGACCTATATGTACTTGGTGGATGATGTGATCAGTGGTGTAAAGTGCTAGATCTATACTTGATAGACGTATCGGTACTCAGTGGATGATGTGATCAGTGGTGTAAAGTGCTAGATCTATACTTGATAGACGTATCGGTACTCAGTGGATGATGTGATCAGTGGTGTAAAGTGCTAGATCTATACTTGATAGACCTATCGGTACTCAGTGGAGGATGTGATCAGTGCTGTTTACCTGATACCTATTTTTTGCTGGTTCACCTGGGAAGCCTAGCTGCAATCAGATCTACTCCCATGAACGTTGCTTCCGCAGGTGAATGTTGGCTGCTGAACCACAGCGGCTGCGTTATCAAGAAATGATTATCTGTTGTAGAGAAGAAGTAGGGAAAAGATGGCAGTTAACAGCTACAGAGACAGTGTGTGGTTATCTGTTGTAGAGAAGAAGTAGGGAAAAGATGGCAGTTAACAGCTACAGAGACAGTGTTGTGGTTATCTGTTGTAGAGAAGAAGTAGGGAAAAGATGGCAGTTAACAGCTACAGAGACAGTGTAGTAGTTGATAGTTGTGTGGATATATTTAAGAGCTAGTCAGTATCATAACTGGGATCTGTGTTACTAATGCTACAGGTAATTACAAAGTTGATGGTTACGTGGATGCAGTTACACAGCATCTTGTCTCAGAAACTGAAATATTTTGGCCATGTGAAGTGCTGCAGAGGATCAGAACAAAAATAATAGCACACGGTGTGGTACTAGGAAAGAGAGGCATGGACTGACTAGCACAAAGGTGATCACAGGAATGACTCCTTAGGTAGGAAAGAGCATTAGGCAGTAGAGCTGGCAAAAGAACAAGTTTTTTTTTAGGCAGACTGTGATGTAAACAATGTTTTGCTAAGGACCTGCTACATGTCAGTGATCATAAAGATGCAATTAATTGTTTTTGGTTTGATGCTGCAAATATTAGTGATGGAAAAAATAAAACTCAGCTAATTTCAGTGAAAACTGTAAACATTGACAACAGAAAAACACATCTGAATATAGATTTAAGATGTGTTTTATCAATTGCTGTTATAGAGCTGAACTTAGATTTAAGACGTATTTTTATCAACTGATGTTACAGAGCAGCTAGCCGAGTCGCAGATACTCCGTGAGCGCTGTCACCAACTACAGGCCAGTCACCACAACCTGGCTCAAGTGGCCACCAGGATCAACAGTCACATGACTGTAAGTGTTTGTGTCACTTGTCTCTGATATCTCCAGTCTGCGGAAAATGTTTCAGTCAAATGTGGGTTTTTGTGTGTGTGGATAAAGGTTGTCTTCACAGTGGATGTTCCTCTACTGTCCTGGGCAGACTAAACAAGTCTTACATACCTCAACATCCCAGGGTAGAAGAGGACAGACTAAACAAGTCTCACATACCTCAATATCCCAGGGTAGAAGAGGACAGACTAAACAAGTCTTACATACCTCAACATCCCAGGGTAGAAGAGGACAGACTAAACAAGTCTTACATACCTCAACATCCCAGGGTGGAAGAGGACAGACTAAACAAGTCTTACATACCTCAACATATCGGTCTCACATACCTCAACATCCCAGGGTAGAAGAGGACAGACTAAACAAATCGTACATACCTCAACATCCCAGGGTAGAAGAGGACAGACTAAACAAGTCTTACATACCTCAACATCCCAGGGTAGAAGAAGACAGACTAAACAAGTCTTACATACCTCAATATCCCAGGGTAGAAGAAGACAGACTAAACAAGTCTTACATACCTCAATATCCCAGGGTAGAAGAGGACAGACTAAACAAATCTTACATACCTCAACATCCCAGGGTAGAAGAGGACAGACTAAACAAGTCTTACATACCTAAATATCCCAGGGTAGAAGAGGACAGACTAAACAAGTCTTACATACCTCAATATCCCAGGGTAGAAGAGGACAGACTAAACAAATCTTACATACCTCAATACCCCAGGGTAGAAGAAGACAGACTAAACAAGTCTTACATACCTCAACATCCCAGGGTAGAAGAGGACAGACTAAACAAGTCTTACATACCTCAATATCCCAGGGTAGAAGAGGACAGACTAAACAACTCTTACATACCTCAACATCCCAGGGTAGAAGAGGACAGACTAAACAAGTCTCACATACCTCAATATCCCAGGGTAGAAGAGGACAGACTAAACAAGTCTCACATACCTCAACATCCCAGGGTAGAAGAGGACAGACTAAACAAGTCTTACATACCTCAACATCCCAGGGTAGAAGAGGACAGACTAAACAAGTCTCACATACCTCAAAATCCCAGGGTAGAAGAGGACAGACTAAACAAGTCTCACATACCTCAACATCCCAGGGTAGAAGAGGAAAGACTGTAGGTGACTGAAGAAGAGGAAGGACTCAACAAGAACGAGGAACCTCAACCTCCCAGAGTAGAGGAGGTAATGAAACAAGATTGCAGGGTACCTCTACATCTGAGTGTAGATCAGGGAAAAAACACACAAAGACACCTGTAAACTGTAGTTAGGTACATCTTCATCTCACTACAGTCTTTGAACATGAAGTACCAAGAGTCAAAAGGCTGTGAAAAGATCAGCATTCTCTGTGTGATATTGATCGCTTGATTAGGGATCAGAGATATAGTTTGTTATTTGTTGCTAGGCAAATTGTTGCACTCATCTGTTGAATGTTTGTATGGAGACTTTAATGTGTCTTTGTCTGTGTCTTCTGTTGAAGTATCTGATGGAGGAGAGGCAGAGGCTACAGGAGGAGAGACTCAGACACCAGGACAACATCAGCCACCTGAAGGAGACTTTAAACCACTTGAAATAAGTAACATTCACTTTGTCTGTTTTATTCAGCAAACAGGAGTTTCATTCAACAAACTTTTTAAAATTCAACAAAATGTTTTTTTAAATTTTATTCAACAGACCTATTGTTTGCATACTACACAGATATATTTCAAGCACACCGTGTTGTATCTGTGACAGTTGTATGTACAAATGTAATGTTTGCAAATTGGTGACACCAAGTAAATTGGGTAACGCATGTTTCTTCAGATCTGTGTTGCAGGTATATCTGTTCATTTGGTTTTCCTTGGACTCTTCCTGCCCTCAGTTTTGTCTGCAGGTCCATGTCTAGGTCCTTGTGTCTGTTCCTGTCTTCATATTTTGTCTGCAGGTCAGCAGGAACATGTCTGGGTCCTTATGTCTGTTCCTGCCCTCAGTTTTGTCTGCAGGTCAGCAGTAACATGTCTGAGTCCTTGAGTCTGTTCCTATCCTCTGTTTTGTCTGCAGGTCAGCAGTAACATGTCTGAGTTCTTATGTCTGTTCCTATCCTCCGTTTTGTCTGCAGGTCAGCAGGAACATGTCTGGGTCCTTGAGTCTGTTCCTATCCTCAGTTTTGGCTGCAGGTCAGCAGGAACATGTCTGAGTCCTTATGTCTGTTCCTGTCCTCTGTTTTGTCTGCAGGTCCATGTCTGTTCCTGTCCTCAGTTTTGTCTGCAGGTCCATGTCTAGGTCCTTGTGTCTGTTCCTGTCTTAATATTTTGTCTGCAGGTCAGCAGGAACATGTCTGGGTGCTTATGTCTGTTCCTGACCTCAGTTTTGTCTGCAGGTCAGCAGTAACATGTCTGGGTCCTTATGTCTGTTCCCCTGAAGTCTTGGAGGGCCTTGATACTAGCTGGGCATTTTTCTTGGGGATGATGCCTTGCTCCTCTACCACTGCAGGGGTAGGGTGAGGAAATGTAGAATGAAACAGTTGTCTGGTGGCACTTACTGGCATGAATGTCCAGATACCACTTAGAATGAAACAGATGTCTGGTGGCACTTACTGGCATGAATGTCCAGATACCACTTAGAATGAAACAGATGTCTGGTATCACTTACTGGCATGAATGTCCAGATACCACTTAGAATGAAACAGTTGTCTGGTGGCACTTACTGGCATGAATGTCCAGATACCACTTAGAATGAAACAGATGTCTGGTGGCACTTACTGGCATGAATGTCCAGATACCACTTAGAATGAAACAGATGTCTGGTATCACTTACTGGCATGAATGTCCAGATACCACTTAGAATGAAACAGATGTCTGGTGGCACTTACTGGCATGAATGTCCAGATACCACTTAGAATGAAACAGATGTCTGGTGGCACTTACTGGCATGAATGTCCAGATACCACTTAGAATGAAACAGATGTCTGGTATCACTTACTGGCATGAATGTCCAGATACCACTTAGAATGAAACAGTTGTCTGGTGGCACTTACTGGCATGAATGTCCAGATACCACTTAGAATGAAACAGATGTCTGGTGGCACTTACTGGCATGAATGTCCAGATACCACTTAGAATGAAACAGATGTCTGGTGGCACTTACTGGCATGAATGTCCAGATACCACTTAGAATGAAACAGATGTCTGGTGGCACTTACTGGCATGAATGACCAGATACCACTTAGAATGAAACAGTTGTCTGGTGGCACTTACTGGCATGAATGTCCAGATACCACTTAGAATGAAACAGTTGTCTAGTAGAACAAAGAGTCAATCATGGGATCTGATCCAAAGTCAGACCCAAGTCTTATCTGTTGGAAGTGAAATGTCAGTCTGTGGCTTGACTCTGTGTAGTCATTGCTTCAACAGCTGACCTGGACATATTGTCTGGCCAGTGATGTATAATACACAGTACTGATTGTATTGTAAGGGAAAATTTGTAGATGTAGTCTGAGCATTTGACTGACCAAAATGTGATAGTTTAACCATTTGAATGACCAAAATGTGATAGTTTGACTATTGCATGACTAAAAGGTGATAGTTTGACCATTGCATGACTAAAAGGTGATAGTTTGACCATTTGAGTGACCAAAATGAGATAGTTTGACCATTTGAATGACTAAAAGGTGATAGTTTGACCATTGCATGACTAAAAAGTGATAGTTTGACCATTGCATGACTAAAAGGTGATAGTTTGACCATTGCATGACTAAAAGGTGATAGTTTGACCATTTGACTGACTAGAGCAGGGCTATTCAACTGGCGTCCTGCCGGCAAAATCTGGCCCGCCGAGGCCCATCAAGTAGCTCGCCGATCGTTGCCAAAATAGTAAAATGTAGTCATTAAAAAGAAATTAATCAAAGTGATTATTAATTAATAATTACAGAAGACAGTAGTACAATTTACATTATAATGGTTTACAACACTACTTCATTCAAATAGGCTAAGACCTAGGCGTAATAGTTTTCAAGTGTATTAAATCTACAGATTGAAAATGTCAGTTGTAGTGTGGGCCACTGGCCCGCGACGATCTCCGTGTTCAACATTTTGGCCCGCTAGCAAACTTAGTTGAATAGCCCTGGACTAGAGTTTGATAATTTGACTACTTTAATTACCATAGTGTGATGATTTGACCACTTGACTGACTAAAGTGTGATAGCATTTTTATTTTACCTAACAAAATAGCATAATTTTAATCATTTCACTTCAAAAGTATTTGGTAGTTTAATCTTTGACCAAAGTGGAATGTAGTTGATGTGGCTAGTTGCCTGCATTCCTGGCAAACTTTCTTGTAAGCCAAGTATTCTTTTTTCTTTCTGAATAAGAGAGCTCAGAACACTTTGTGCACTAGTTCTTAGTTCACAGCCAGTCATGGGAGGCTACCCCAGCTCCGACTCATCTTACCCTAGACAACCTTCTGCAGAGTGGATTGATGAAATAGAATGGACGTCCTGGCACCTAGGTCATGCCTTTATGTGCCCTCTGGTAGAAATGTGTGGTTGGTCATCGCCCAAGTGAAACTGTTATACTCCACCAGTGGATTCCACTTGACTTGCATACAGGTCTGTTGTTTCTGCAGTGGATTCCACTTGACTTGCATACAGGTCTGTTGTTTCTGCAGTGGATTCCACTTGACATGTTTACATGTCTGTTGTTTCTGCAGTGGATTCCACCTGACATGCATACAGGTCTGTTGTTTCTGCAGTGGATTCCACTTGACTTGCTTACATGTCTGTTGTTTCTGTAGTGGATTCCACCTGACTTGCTTACAGATCTGTGGTTTCTGCAGTGGATTCCACTTGACTTGCATACATGTCTGTTGTTTCTGCAGTGGATTCCATCTGACTTGCTTACAGATCTGTGGTTTCTGCAGTGGATTCCACTTGACTTGCATACAAGTCTGTTGTTTCTGCAGTGGATTCCACTTGACTTGCATACAGGTCTGTTGTTTCTGCAGTGTGGAAGCATGATTGATCATTCTTCCACTGCTTGCTAGCCGCAGAAAGATTGTTGCTGTAATTGATGTCCAGAAGTAGGTCAGTCCCAGGTTGCTATACTATTTGTGAAAACGATGGATCCACCAATCTTCATCTTTGCCAGATGGGCTCCTGCTGTGATCTGCACACAATCTCAAGCTGTGTATATAGTTTCATTCTTCAACCTTCAAGTGCCATATTTCAAACTTTAACACAGTTGAGAGAGAGAGAGAGAGAGAGAGAGAGAGAGAGAGAGAGAGAGAGAGAGAGAGAGAGAGAGAGAGAGAGAGAGAAAGAGAGAGAGAGAGAGATTCACAGAGAAAGAGAGAGAGAGAGAGAGAGAGAGAGAGAGAGAGAGAGAGATTCACAGAGAAAGAGAGAGAGAGAGAGAGAGAGAGAGAGAGATTCACAGAGAAAGAGAGAGAGAGAGATGTGTGTGGGCCTGCAGCAGTAGTGAAGAGTACTGTCTGGTCACCAAACCTAATAAACATATATAAACAGTTTATTTATATACTTATAAACATACACGTACATATATATAAATAAGCTAAGCTATGTTTTACTGAGGCTGCCATATTTGTAAAGTTTATGTTTAATCATAGCTAAAGTAGACGTAGGGCCAATGTTGCTGTAGGTCAGCGGTTCTCAACCTTATGGTGGGACAGACGACCCTTTCACAGGGGTCGCCGAAGACCATCGGAAAACACATAAGCACTTAAGTTATGAAGTAGCAAGGGAAATAATTGTATGTATGGAGGTCACCACAACCTGAGGAACTGTATTAAAGGGTCACGGCATTAGGAAGGTTGAGAGCCACTGCTGTGAGGTTTCATAGTTACTGACAAACTTTCTCACTAACAGATGAAAGATTTGCCATTTTCTGGTTATAGCCTGTATCAGGCCAGATGCCATTTTGTCTCTCGAGAATTATGTTTGCTCTTGTATTTGATTTCTGCCCTGTTTATTCTGTTCTTATACTTCAGCCACGTAATTGTTCCACCTTCCTAGTGATTGTTGCCAAGTTTAGATGATGTCGTACGACAGTGGCCAGACCACACATTTTTTGCAACTGTTGCTTTGCCTAAAGTTGTTGATTTTATTTATTTGTACATGTTTAAATGCATTTTTTGTACATAGATTGGTACATGGCCCCTAGATCATCTGTGCCTACACATAGATTGGTACATGGCCCCTAGATCAGCTGTGCCTACACATAGATTGGTACATGGCCCCTAGATCAGCTGTGCCTACACATAGATTGGTACATGGCCCCTAGATCAGCTGTGCCTACACATAGATTGGTACAATGCCCCTAGATCAGCTGTGCCTACACATAGACTGGTACATGGCCCCTAGATCAGCTGTGCCTACACATAGATTGGTACATGGCCCCTAGATCAGCTGTGCCTACACATAGATTGGTACATGGCCCCTAGATCAGCTGTGCCTACACATAGATTGGTACATGGCCCCTAGATCAGCTGTGCCTACACATAGATTGGTACATGGCCCCTAGATCATCTGTGCCTTCACATAGATTGGTACATGGCCCCTAGATCAGCTGTGCCTACACATAG